TTTCATCGGTCTTTCTATTGTTAATATCTAATTGAATTCCGTTGTGGTCAGAGATCATGCTTCCTGTGAATTTAGGCTTTTCACATTTATTGAGGATCATTTTATGGCCTGGCACATGGTGTATCCTGGAGAATGTTCCATGTGTGCTTGGAAAGAAAGTGTGACCCAAAGTCACTGGGTCCACTAGGTTATATGATCTGAAGTATCTTCCAGTCTTTAGCATCTTTGTTGATTTTTAAAATCTAGTTGTTCTCCCAGCCATCAGGAGTGGGGTATCAACACCTCTTCTGATGCTGTTGCCTAGTTGTCTCTTTCTCCTTTTAAGGAGTTTAGTTTTTGCTTCATGTATTTTAAGTCTCTATTATGAGCGGTGTGTACATTTATAATTTTTATATTTTCCCAATAGATTGGCCCTTCTATCATTATGAAATGTCCCTCTCTGCCTCTAGGAATATTTCTTGTCTTAACATTTGTTTCATTTGATATCAAAGTGGTCACTCCCGGCTCTCCTACTGTGGTTGTTTTCATAGTGTATCTTTATCCCATCCTTTTACTTTCAACCCACTGGCTTGCATCTTTGAATCTGAGATTTGTCTCTTGTAGCTAGTGTGCATTCATATCTTGCTTATTTGTTCAGTCTGATAATCTCTGTCTTTTGATTTAAGCGCATAGACTATTCACATTTAATTATAAATTAAATCATTTGACCTTAACTAATTAAATTAAAATTTCTATTACATGATATTGACATTTTCCCTTGTGCTGTTTTCTCCATGTCTCCTGAGTTTGTTTTTTTTATTGTTGTTGTCTTGTTCTTCTGATTCTCCTTTACTGTTTTCCTTTATGCTAAGTAAATGTTTTTAGTGTCCCCTTTTAATTTCTCTTGTAAAAAACCATATACTGTGGATGATTTTCTTAGGTTTGTTCTAGGGACTGCAAAAATACATTTGAGCTTGTCTCAGTCCACTTCAAATTAGCACTAGCTTCCCTCTGGTCAAATGTGGAAAGTGCACTCCATCCTTCCCCCTTCCTTGTGCTGCCATTGCCATACATCTCATGTCTTTTAATGCTATAAACCCAAGAGTAGAACATTGTAATTACCACTTAGGTCTTTTAAAGATTTTAAGAGAAAAATTAAGAAAAATATATTTATCGAGTATTTCATATTGACTCTCATATTTACCATTTCTGCTGTTTTTTATTTCTTCTTGTGGATTTAAGTTATCATCGGGTGCCAGTTCCTTTCAGCCTAATGGACTTCCCTTTAGTATTTCTCACAAGGCAACTTTGCTAACAATACATTATTGATCTTTGTTTATCTGAGAATATCTTTATTTCACCTTCAGTTTTGGAGGATAGTTTTGCTGGATTTTTTGTTTAAGTTTTTTTTTTGTTGTTGTTTCCTTTGAGCACTTTGAATGTGTCATTCCACTGCCTTCTGCTGTTCTTTTTTCCCCCTCTTTTAATGAAAAGCCATCTATTAATTGTATTGTTCATAATATATGAAGTTTTGGTTTTCTCCTGCTTTCATGGTTTTCTCTTTGTCTTTCAACAGTTTGATTATAGTATGTATAGGTGTATATCTCTTTGTGTTTAACCTATCTGGGATTTGTTTAGTTTCTTGGATGTTTGATTTAAAGTGTTTCATCGATCTGGAAACATATTGGCCATTATTCCTCATAGTTTATTTCTTAGCCCTTTTCTACCTCTCTTTTGGGACTCACATTATACATGCGATTGTGTTTGATGTTGTTTATGTGTCTTTGAAGCTGTGTTCATTGTTGCTCATAGTTTTCTCTGTTCTTCACAGTGGATAATTTTTTCATAACTCTGTCTTCAAGTTCATGCATTCTTGTGCTATGTCAAGTATGCCACTGAGCCTCTCTAGTGAATTTTCCTCATTATTGTATTCAACTCCAGACTTTCCATTTGATACATTATTTCTTTTTCCTTTCTGAGAATTGCCATTTGTTGATTTCTTATTGTCATGCTTCCCTTTAATTCTTTGGTGGTGTGTGTGTGTGTGTGTGTGTGTGTGTATAAAACAGCTGCTTTGAAGTCTTTCACTACCAAATCCAACTTCTGGGGTCCCCTGAAGGTGGAAGAATGCTTTTTTTTCTTTTTCTTTCTCCAACTATAGGTCATATTTTCCTGTTTCTTTGTACTTCTCACTTTTTTTTTTGTTAAAAACTGGACATTTTTCAATCTATTGCATCAACTCTGGATTTTTCTTTTCTTCCAGAGATTATTTCTGATTTTTCTTATTCATTTGTTTGTTTTTTGAAGTAACTTACCTGGGCTAAATCTTTGAAATCTATCTCCGTTGCTGGTGATTTTTTTCTTAATTTTTATTTTTAACTTATAGCTTTTGCACCCTTCTGTCTGCCTCACTTAGAGATCAGCCAGTATTTGATCAGAGGTATTCTCAAATACCTTGAGTTAGTAAACCTTCTATCTGATATCAAAGACCTTTGTGTGGGTAGAGGAGCACATTCAAAATTTAGGCATTTTCAAATCTGCCTGGCTTTTGCTTTTCACTGGGCTGCTTGTGTTTCCTATGTGAGTACACATGGCCTTGGGGTCATCTAGGAGTCTGTGGCTGGCTTGGGCCATTTCCAAAGGCACACAGTCTCAGCCATTCCATACAACCTTCAAGATGATCATTTCCATTGTCACTGCTACTAAGCAGAGGTGTCACCCATTGATCCAAATTGAGTGAGTCCCTTCAGCGATGGCATTGCAGCTGCTGTGCCCTTCCCTACAGAGTCTCTGAGTCTCCCCAGCTGGGAGGGTGCTTTGGGAGCAGCCTGGGGCCAGCATGCTCCAGACTCACTGTTTCTACCTGAAATGCAGCAGTTTTTAAGCATGAACACTTCATAGATGGTTGCATGCTCTTGGATGATTTCCAGCATGTGGAAATGGCTGCTTTTGTTAACTTGTGCAGTTTTATAATTGATTTTTGGAAAGAGCATTTGCCAACCCTCTCACTTGGCCACACATCAAGGTTCTATCTCCCCAGAGTGCATTTGTGACTAGGGATGTGGGGCAGAGCTGAGGGTGCTTGAAGGGATAGAAAGGGGAAGAAGTGGCTATATATGAGGCTGTAGAGGTTGGTTGGGGTAGATGAGACTTTATTTAGCAAAGAAGGAAAACGGAAGTGCCCACAGAGAAAGGGATTTTTCCCAAGTTCTTGAAGCTTAGTCACTAGCGTGTTGACACTGGAACCTGGCCCTCCTGACTCCCAGTCCAGTGCTCTTTCCCTGCTTCCAAATTGCTTCAGCAGTTGTTGTTTAGAACTCCAAATCCCTAGGAGTTTTCAGGATGGCAGACCCATCCATCCATCCATCCATCCATTGATCCATCCATCCACCCACCCATCATCCATCCTCCATCTATTATCCTTCCATCCATCCATTATCTTTCCTTCCTTCTACCCATCCATCCATCTTCTTTCCATCCATTCATCATCTATCCATCCACCCATTATCCTTCCTCCCATCCATCCATCCATCCATCCATCTTCTTTCCATCCATCCATCATCCACCATCCACCATCCATCTATCCATTATCCTTCCTTCCACCCATCCATCCATCCATCTTTTTTCCATCCATCCATCCATCCTTTTTCCACTCATCCATTATCTTTCCTTCCTTCTACCCATCCATCCATCTTCTTTCCATCCATTCATCATCTATCCATCCATTATCCTTCCTCCCATCCATCCATCCATCCATCCATCCATCCATCTTCTTTTCATCCATCCATCATCCATGCATCCATCCATCCATTATCCTTCCTTCCACCTATCCATCCATCCATCCATCTTCTTTCCATTCACCCATCCATCCATCCATCCATCCATCCATCCATCCATTATCCTTTATCTATCTACCCATCCATTATCCTTCATTCTATCCATCTATCTATCAATCCATCCATCCATCCACCATTATCTTTCCATCCATCCATTATCCTTCCTTCCTTCTATCCATCCTCTGTTCTTCCTTCGGTCCATCCACTCATTCAATACTTATTAAGTTCCTACTGTGTGCCCAGCACTGTGCTGTGCTCTGAGGCTAAGTAGAAAACAAAAACTGACATGGTTCCAGTGTTATGACCCTCTCATAGTCTCAGAGTGGGACACTAGCCTCAGGAAAGGGCAAGATCCATGTTGAAGAAGTATCCCATCCTTCTCTGTTAGTCTTAACTAAAGCAATAACCCTTTCAAGGGAAAACAATGAGTTTTAATTAACCTCTAAACTAAAATCCCACAAAATGTGATTTCAAATAGTAATTTGTGGCAAATTTTATTTGTGGAAGCATTTTAAGTGTGTAAGTATTTAAATCAAAAAAAGAAGGGGTGCCTGGGTGGCTCAGTGCGTTAAAGCCTCTGCCTTAGGCTCAGGTCATGATCCCAGGGTCCTGGGATCGAGCCCCACATCGGGCTCTCTGCTCGGTGGGGAGCCTGCTTCCCCTCCTCTCTCTCTCTGCCTCTCTCTCTGCCTACTTGTGATCTCTGTCTGTCAAATAAATAAATAAAATCTTTAAAAAAAAGAAGCTGTCATATTTAATAGTTTGGTAGCAAAAATTTTGATTTCTGAAATGAATCTCAAAGGCAGCCATACTGTGAGTTGTCTTTCAAAATAGTCATTAAAATGGAAAGCTCTGGAAACTCCTCCTACAGACAAATCTGTAAGTCTGAGGCCCTTGGCCTTGCATGGAGGGAACCTTGCAGAACGGTTTGGTACTTAGACACGTGCCAGCTGCTTGCGGCTGCCTGTGCCATGCCAAGGTGCCATCTGGAAACTGAAAAATGCAGGAAAGACTCTGGAGGCTTTGTCCACATGACAACAAATAAGTGGATATTTGGAAATGAGCTTTTGGACTACATCTTGAGTCATCCTCTGGGAATTCCTAAATAAAACCTCAGAGGGATTAATGGAATTTTGTATCTCATCTTTCTCTCTTCCTTCCCCCCCAGGTGATCTCATTCCACAGTTATGTCCAAGTCTGTGTCCCAAGCTCTGATTCTTTCCCAGGCACCATTTCCAAAGGCCTCTGGAGCCCCGCTGCTGGTGTGCTACCAAACGTCCCTGTGCTCCTGCATCTGCCAGGCTCCCTTACAGGTGGGTCAGGCCATGAACCCAGGCTCTGGCCGATGGGACGTGAGTGACAGTGAGGTGACTCCCAGGTCCAACCCCACAAAATATCCCATGTGGTTCTCTGGCTTCCTCTTCTGCCACCGTGACCTTGAAGGCTAGATGGTCCAACTGGCAGAGCCACAGTTGGAGGGGGAGACACCTGACCTGCATCAGCCTTCGTGAATGAGTACAGTGTGCCTTCCTCGGGTTATTTATCCCACTGGGATTTGGGGTTCATTTGTTACTGTGGCCCAGCCTAGCCTAGCCTGACTCATGGCTCCTGGATGTCCCACAGACACTTCGGAAGCAACACATCCAAAGCTGAGCATTCACCTGCTTCAGATTTGTTCCCTAACCATGCAGTGGCGTCATGTTGTCCCAGATGCTTGAGTCTCCCTAGAGAGACTTGCACGGGATGGGCCCCCCTCTTCTTCCTCCTCCCCATTGTGCTTGCCCGCATCTTGTCTTCTCTGCCCTGGACTGATGCCGTGGCCCCCGCCGGCCTCCCTGTCTCTTTTCCAAGCTCTGGTTTTCCGGAGCTGCCAGAGTTATCATTCTGAAACAAATCTCAACTGTGCTGTTCCTGTTCTTGAAAGCCCTGGAAGGTTCTCTTTCACCTTGGGAGAAGGCACAAGCCTGGAGCTTCTGGGCCTGGCTTCCCCCCAAGTCTTATGGTTCTTGTCCTGCGCGGCCAGGCTGCTGGGCCCTCCCTGTGTGGGCGGGGGACCTTTGTCCTTTGTCCCTTGCAGGTCCTACACTTTGTGTTTTACTTCACCCAGGTCCCAGCTCATCATTCAAGACCTGCTCAAATGTATTCTTCTCTTTGCCAGCACCTCAGGCAGAATGAATTCTCCCTTCTTCCTTCCGCCGTACTCAGCACATATTTCCATAATAACCTGCATTCTCCAGGGTGCTCGTGGCGGTAAGCAGGAGGAAAGAACTACAGGGTCAAGAAGTTGGGGGTGAAACTGAATTCGTCAACGTCAGACAGTTAAATTGCAGAGCTTTTCTGTTCCTTATGCACGTGAGCCCGTGAGAGGGGTGGTCAGCCAGCTGTAGGGCTTAGACCACAGATGCGCTTCTGGGGAGCGCCTCCTGGAGCTCATGTCCTGGGGAAGTCATAATGTTGTCCTTCCCCTCGTTTTACAGGTGGAAACTGAGGCCGAGTGCACACGGCTGCCAGAGACAGAGGCAGGTGCTTGCTGGGGACTTAGCACTGCCGTCTGGTCCCCTGCCCACCAGCGTCCGTGGTTACTGCTCAGCCCCCCGGGGCCTCTCCTTTCAAATGAAGATACTCCGCACCCCAGCCGGGCACTTGGGGGATGGCGGAAGACTTCCGAGGGGATGGTCGTGGACCATCACCTCAGAGACGTGTGTCACACAGACGGACCTATGGCGGGTCATTCTGTTACTCTCCCACGTGACGACCTTCCATCAGCACGGTCCAGGTGCACTTCTGAGCTCTGTAGAGACACTCGTCCCCCTGCCAGACAGCCTGGGACTCGGGCTGTGACTGTTCTCAGTGGATGTGGGGAGACTGAGGCACAAAGACACTCGGTGACTTATGCAGGGAGTCAGCCTTCAGGCCCCAGCCTGACCCCAACTGTGAGCTCATCGCCCCCCAGCACGTACCTGTCACACACAGACCGAGGTCTTCAGCCTGGAGGGCGAGTCTGAGGAGAAGCAGGGCCCACCAGAGCTGACTATGCCCCTCCCCTCCCCCACATCCCTCACAGATGTGTACTGGGCCCCTCCTGGGCCATGCCCTCTGCATTTGGCCTCCACGCAGAGACTCTGGGCCCCTACCCTCTTTCCCAGTTCCCAGGAATCCCCAGGGACCGTTTCTGGTGTTGTATGTCCCTCTTAGGTCCAGCCCTCCTCTCCTCTGCCCTGCCTGCTGGAGTGACCAAAGCAGGCTCTGGCCCCTGCAGACTGATGGGGAATCCCTTCTCCCAGGGTCCACAGGGGCCATTTTCCAGGGTCTTCCCTGATGATCAAGTACCAGAAAGCTCCAAGGAGCTGAGGGCTCACTTCTCAGCACCTGGCCTGCGCTGGTCAGAGCCAGTCACTGTCCCGCTCCCTGTCCCCATAGTGCTTTATGTATGTACACAGGTGGGGAGCAGTGGGGCTTGGGGCTGGCCCGCTGGCCTGTGCCTACCTGCCATGGGGGATGGGGGGGCCACTGTCATTCTGGGAACCCTAGTCTCAGTGGATATCAGTGGAGATGATAATCAGCCCAGCCCAGTCCCAGCCTCCCAGGGTTGGGGAAAGATTGATGCACGCAGAAGGCGAGGCAGAGAGATGGGTGCCCCCTGCCTACCCCTCCCATTGCTGCGGACGGAACCCTGGTGAGCCCCTTTGCCTTTTTGTGCTGTGCCTCCATTTCTTCTTCCAGGAAAAGGACCTGATGATGAAGCCCATCCTCCGGTCAGCTTGGGGGCCCGCACTTTGCAAAGTCACTGGAGCAGAGCTGGTGTGACACCAGCCGCTGCTGGGGAAGTGTCCCCAACATGGGCCACACTGAGGTGTCATTGACCCGCCTGCCCCCATCACTACGGCTGATTCCCAGAGGCCAGTCCCAAGTCATCCCTCGGACCCCGGCACCACACCAGATGCTCTTGGGACCAGGAAGCCCCCCAGTCGTCACTGCCCTGCCCCCCACCCCCAGCCTGCACTCTGGCTCCCTGGAGCTCTGTGTCCATGTCCTCACCTGTCCCTGACTCTGCCTTCCCCCAGGTCATCACCCATGCCGGTCCTTCTGCCGGGAGCCCTCTTCCACTCCCTCCACCTGTTTACCTACCCAAAGATTGATTTGTTCCCTGCTGTCTCCCCGGAGCCTCAAGCTTGGCATGTGATGAGCTTGGCATGTGATGGGGCTCCATGGACACCCGGTGAAAGGAAGGGGGACACGAGCCTGTCACACTGCATCAGCCGTGCGAGGTCTGCGACTGGGGTCAGCGGTTGCCATCCCCGTCCCTCCCTGGAGCCAGCCTCCAGCTTGGCGGGCCTCTCATACATGCAGGGCTGGGCTGGCCCGTGGCTACAGGGGTTGCAGGCCAGAGGAATCCCTGCCCCCACCAAGAAGTGACCACACCCCACTGCCCCTTAGAGTGTCTCATCCCCAGAGTGGCCACCGCCTTCCACCTTGTCTCCCTCCCTCTACGGATCAGAGCAGCCAGACCACCGTCTCCCTGTGGGGCCTTTTCTTCCTTCTCCATCTAGACACATTTCTCTCTGGCCTCCGGGTCACACTTCTGCCCCTGGCTGGAATGCATGTCCTGAGCAACCTCCCCCCACAACTTGGCACCTTCACCGTGGCAACCGGATAATGTCCCGCAAGCTGTCCCCTCCAACCCCTTGTCATTTGCTGGAAGGCATTAGGAGACGTCTCTGCAAGGCATCACAGCCCCCCACCCTACACCTGGCAGCTTCCTTATCACCCCCACCCGGCAGCTCCCCTGCCCTGCAGTTTAACCTTGGCCCCTGCCCCTGGTGGCTTTCCCCCAACATCTGGCAGCACCCCCACAGCTCTCCCCACAGCCCCCCCTTCCTAACCTGGCAGCTTCCCCAGCCCCCCTACCCCTGTACCTTGCTGTCCTCACCTGGCAACCCCCCCATGCACCTGGCAGCTCCCCTACATCTGACAGCACCCCACCCCCCACTAAGTAGGTGCAAATTTCTTAGTTTTGCTGGAGGCCAGGCCAAGGGCACAGCACAGGGGAGAGGCTCCCCGCTGTAGAGTCTGGCCCCCCAACAGCCTGTCCCCTCAGTCTCCCTCCTGCTGGCGCCCCCAGCGTCCCCGAGAGCATTGCTCATGGAGTCCTTGACCAAGCTGAGCTTTGTCACATGTATCAAGACACATTAAAATATTATCACTAGAGACCTTTGATAATTTCAGAAAGCCTGAGACTTTTAATGAGTAAGTGGTCGGATTAACAGTTGGAGAGGAGAAGCACTTCTCCTTTTTGGATGGGGGACATTGCTGCGGGGTGAGGAACCCAGGCTGCATCTTGGTTTGGGCTGGGGTTCAGCGGGGGCCCCCACTCACCTCTCAGGGAAAGCTCCATTTCCTGCATCCAACCACATGCCAGGCGCTTGGTATCTGGTCATTCACAGATGCTCATAAGGAGCCCCGCGGGGTCCATGGCACGCTCTGGCCGCTCGTGGAACTCCCAGTGAGTTTAGCGAGGGCTGGATAGTGGGCCCCGGACACAGAGGTCAGGAGTCACTGGCATTTTTCTAAAGTTCTCCCACGTGTTTCTCAGACAGAGCCCAGGTCTAGAACCACCGGGTTAGCACAATGGCTCTCAAACCTGGGGACGCGTCGGAACCATCATGGGGCTTATTAGAACACAGATCCCAGGGCCCCCATCTCCTTGTTTCTGGTTCGGAGGGTCTGGGGTGGGGTCCAGGAGTCACGCATTTCTAACCAGTTCCCATTAAAGCTGATGCTGTGGTCCAGGTATGACCCGCAGAGAACCACCGAGTCCGGGCAGTGCTGGTGGGGCTATGACAGATACAGAGAGAGGACAAGTCTCCCACGGGACACCCTAGCTGGCACATGGGGATGCGTCCCTTTGAGTTCGTCAGAGAAATTACTGAACCCCTGTGTGCCTTCACCTTCATCCTCAAAGTGGGGAAAACTGTGGCCTCCCAGTATAAGTGCTACATAGATGTATGCTAGATGGATGTGAGGTTCAATGAGGTCTTCCTTCTGGAACAATCCCGGGCCCAGAGTAGGCTCAAGTCCTAATTCTGATTATTTTTGTGACTGTCTCCTAAAGGATCAGTTGAAGGGTGTCTCCCTCTGAGCAGCCTTCTTCCCTCAGCTCCACATAGGGGCCGAGCCACTCTTTCTTCCCGGATGACGTGGTCTACCGTGTGTCTCCCCCATCCCACTGGGGGCCCCCCACAAGCAGGGGCCAGGCGTGATGGGGTTCTGGAGCTCAGTGCCCCCCATGGAACCTGGAAGGAGGAGGCAGTGAGGGAGGTGGCTGGGGCTGCTTTCCCCGTCTTAGGATGTTCCTGTCGTGAGCAACCCAGCTTTACAAACCCGGAGTGTGTTTGATACCCCATACACCCAGAGCACGGATGCCGGACCCGAGTGTCTGCACGCACAGGGCCTCCGCCAGCATTCACACCCCCTGCCGCCCCGGGGGTGCACCCTAACGCTGCCCCGTGGTCTCCCCACGCTTCTCTCCAGCAGCATGCCTGGCTGCCCCCTGTTCTCTTTGCTTTCTGCACCCAAGTCCCCTGCTTTCCTGACTCGGTCACCAGTGAAGGTGAGCATAGGCCCAGCAGGTGCTGGAGTGGGCTTCCCTCCATCATCCTCCCCAAGTCCCTCACTGCCTGCCTGGGCCCAGCCCCTAAGGCCTCTCTCCACCTGGACAGGAGCCTCCTAAGTGGCTCCCTGCACTGGTCCTCACCGTGCCGGAGACACGGCTCCGAAATGTTGCTGGTCTCACTCCCCCACTTAAAACCTTCCAGCGACTTTGCACCAGACTGTGAATACAAATCAGGCCCCCTGCCTGCCTCCCCTGAGCGCCCGCACCCTCGTGGACTTGACTGTGGCTCTCCTGCTCCAGTGCCCTCTGGGACAGCATTTCCCACTCTCCTCCTCTTCCGCTGCTTCTCCTTCTGGGCTCAAAGTTACCCGGCCCCTTTGTGACCCCTCCCTCTCCATGTGGTGACCATCTGATTTTCTCCTGGGTCCTCAGTCCTGTCTGAAATGAGCCTTCCTTGGGACCTGTCTGCACAAGGACGGGAGCTCTGCACCTGCCCCCCAGGGAACTAATCCGTTTCCTTTGTCACCGTGTCCCCGGCAATGTGACCTCAGGGAGTCCCCACGTCTCTGAGCTTTGGATTCAGAGAAGGGCTGGATCAGTCCTGCCCTTTGACAAGCCCTGCAGATTTATCCGGGCAGAAGCAGCCAGCCGACTGTTCTAGAAGAAGCCGGGTGAGGCGTCCGCCACTCCACCCACCTTCCAGGTCTGGACTCTCCTTCCACGCGGTTGTGGACCTTCACCAAGTCACAAAGTGAGCCTCGGTGTGAGCCTACGGCGGTGGCTGGTCGTGCCCGTGGTGGAGAGGCTCCATCTGAGCCTCTGAGGGGCAGCGCGCCTGTGATCCCAGTGCTCTGACCACAGGTAACCACATGGGGCGGTGGGAAGGACGCCATCGTGGGGCCAGAAAACCCAGGCTGGAATCTGGTCTCTGACCCGCTCTGGCCTGGGGACCTCGGGCAGTCACTGACTGGTGGAGTCTGGTTCCTCAACTGTGGAAAGGGTACCATCACATGCACCCCACAGTCTGGTCGTGAGAATTACCTACAATAACCTGAAACGTCTCCTCTTGCCCCAGGAGTGGGGACCCCCCTCGCCCTCTGTCCTGGGCCCCAGGGACAGTGTCCAGAACAGAGTAGGTGCTCAGTCACTTGTCACAGTTTACCTTGGGGACAATGCTTAGGGGCTCCCTTTTATTAAAACAAGCGAACAGGTGGGGAGAGAGCTCTGAGCCTGTGTGGCTGGGGAGGGGTGGTGGGGACCGGGGTATGGGGAAGGCCTGATGGGGCACCAGGTCAAAGCTGGGACACGACCCAGCCCTTTCCGGACCTCTGGCCCTGCTTTCTCCACCAGGCACGGTCTGCCCTGTGCCTTGTTTGAAGCTTCTTTCTGGGATCCTGTTACCCGGCTCCCAGGCTTGCCTCCCTCAGCCCTGCACTGACTGGGTTCTGCTCCTTTCTGCTCCCTGGGCCAGAACATGGGTTCCCACAGCTGATGGCTTCTGCATCCCTTCCCGACCCCAGGCCTGAGCTGGAGATTTCAAGTCTGACAGGTTGGGAATTGACACCACAAAGGGGGAGGGCCAGGGCACATTCCATGGGTCACCGCCACATCCCACCTCCTGAGACGGGGCACAGACAGCCATGGCCCTGGGGACGCTCTCTGTTATTGGATATGACTTCCGGCTGAGCCTGGGGTGGGGGTGGTGAGCCAGCACACAGGACACTGGGCACTTTCCCTCTTGGGGACAGGAGGGAACCCACACTCTCCACCTTTTCCAAATATTTGAGGCTTTGCTCCTCTGCCTCATTCGTGAAGATACCCAGCTGGGAAGCAGGTGTGGCACAGGGCCTCCTGATTTTTACCAGATGCAGAGGTCTCTGGGGGAAGGATGGAGATAGGCTGGCCCCCTGTTCCCACTCCCACCCCCAGCCTGGCCCAGGATGTGAAGCTGGCCTGGCCTCAGTGAAGTTCCCACTCCCGTCCTCCTATTTTCCCTAAGGCCAATGTAGAGCACAACAAAGTTCTATTGAAATCTGCCTAAAGTAGCCCATGACCTCCGGTGGCGGCTTCATGGGCTCTGGCTCTCAGTGGCCTGACCGGCTGTGCGCTGGATGGGTCCTTGTCCCCACACCCCTCTAAATGCTTCCGCACCCAGGTGCCTGCCCTCATGTTCAGAGGCTGCCTGGTTGGGCCAGGGGCAGCCTCAGGGCCTTTGCAATGCATAGAGAGGCCCCTACGTGCTGTCTACACTGCCCACTCACTCTTCCGAGGCCCCTGCCAGAGAACACCTCCCCACTTCCACTCTGTCCTAGTTCGGGCTCTCTGGAGTTCTCTCGTCCCTAAAGGTGTTCGCTGGGGTGCAGGTCTCCCCGGCTGTCAGCTCCAGGGCCTGGCACCTGGCAGTGGTTCACCCCTGTGCCCCCAGGGCCTAGAACGGTGCATGGCCCCAGTAGGTGCTCAGTGAGTACAGGAGGAAAGGGAGGGAGGAAGGGAAGAGGGCAGGGAGGAGGGCAGGAGCAGGGGAGGAAGGGGGAAGGGAGGAAAGGAGGAGAGGGCTCTGGGGCTTCGCGCTCCCCGGGACCTGGGTTCAGGCCCTGAGCGGGTGGGTGCTCGCTCGGCGGGCGCGAGGCCGGCCGGCAGGTGGCGGTGCGCCCTCGGCTGCGCGGGCGGCGGCGGAGCGGCGAGTCCCCTCCTCCCGCCCGCTCCCTCCCCTCGCCGGCTCCTTTCTCTGCGCTCTCGCTCGCGCTCCCCAGCGCCCTCCCGTTCGCCCGGCCGCGGTCTCCGTCGCCCGCGCCCGCCCCGCCGCCGCCCCTCGGCGACCATGGCGCCCCGGGGGCCCCCGCGCGCCCCGAAGGGCCCCGGCCCCGCCGCTCGAGCCCCGAGTCCGGGGGCGCCGCCGCCGCCGCCGCGCTCGCCGCGCTCGCGGCCGTTCCTACTGCTGCTGCTGCTGCTGGCCGCCTGCGGGGCGGCGGGGCGCTCCCTCGAGCCCGGGCGCCTGGGTCCCCGCGCGCTGCTGACCCGGGTACCGGAGAGCCCGCCCGCGGGGCGCGCGCTGCCTGGCGGCGGCGAGGACCGCCAGGCGCGCGGCGCGGAGCCCGGCGCCCCGGGGCTCGGTCCCGCTCCAGGTCCCGGCGAGGACGGCGCCCCCGCCTCGGGCCAGGGGCGCTGGGCGCGGGCGGCTCCCGGGGCCGGAGCGGCTTCGCGGGCGCAGGTCTCGCTCATCAGCACGTCGTTCGTGCTCAAGGGGGACGCAACGCACAACCAGGCGATGGTGCACTGGACGGGCGAGAACAGCAGCGTAAGTGACCTCCGCGCGCCCCCCGCGGCCCCTGCCCCGGACCCCTCGAGGCCCCACTTCCGGACCGCCCCGCGGTCACCCCGGGCGTTCTCGGCGACTTGGGGACGCGAGTCACCTCGGCGGCGCCCCTACTGGACTCTGGCCACGGGTTTCTTGGGGGAGAGGTCCCCAAATATGTGAAGACCCTACCTCACAGGGTTCTGGGACCCCGAGCCACCTCGGAGGCGCCCCCAGTGGCCTCCCGATCCCAGGTTATGGGGTGGGGGGGGTCTCCTGAGGCTTCGGAACCCTGGTCCTTAGGTCACCTAGGGTCCCTCCCGGTCCTTTAGGACCGCCCCAACTCGGTGTTGCGCCCGGACCGCTCTCAGACTCCACCCGGTCCGCTCTGCGTTGTGTTCTGGGATTTTGGCTTCGGGAACCTCTTCACCCAAGTCTGCCCGGGACCCGGCTAGTGGTCTACCCTGGAGCTCGCCACGAGCTCCAGGAATTCCGCGGTCCGCTCGGCGTGGGATTCTGGGACCCCCTGTCCGGATTCCCCCAGTGCGACCCGGGGCTGCACCTGGAAGCGCAGGGACTGCGTACCCACGGAGTTGTGCGCCACGCCGCGCTCGCGACCGGCGACCGCAAACTCCCCGCCCTCCCTCCACCTTCCCCGATACTCTGGAAGTTGAGCTCCCCCACCCTGGCCACATCTATTAGGGTCCTGGGTGCCTCCTTCCTCCAGCGCTGCGCTGTGGTTCCTATCCCTCTGGATACCGGTCCGTTCCTTTTTTTTTTTTTTTTTTTTTTTTTTGTGGTTCTTGGAGGTTGGCCCTCATATTCTTCCTTGGGGAGCTGCCTCAGCCTCCTTTTTCCCCAGGACAGATGACCAATGGTCAGGCATGGGTAGTCTCCCAGCTGCCCTGGTGGGTTATCCCCAGTTTGGGAAGAGAGCAGGGAGGTGGCAGCTGTTACGGGGGTGGAGGGGGCTGTTGTGTGGGGAGTAGAGATGGGACTCTCCGCTTACTCCCTGCCATCGGTGTTGACTTAGGTCTCCCCAGAGGCTGAACCCCAACCCCGCAGTTCTTTTCTTGGACAAAGTTCCGAGGAGGCAGCATGGGGCCAGCACCCCTGCATGCTTTGGGAGTGGAGGGATGGGCATCTGTGAGCTTCCTTGCCCAGGAAAGGGGTGTAACATGGGCTCCAGGCGCTTTTACCTTTCTCTGTCTGGCCCTGCTGGGCTGATGCGGGTGGGGGCGGGGCGGATTCTGCCAGAGAAGGGAGGGGTGGGGGTTGAACATGTTGGACCACCCTATGGCTTCTCCAGCCGAATCCTGGGGCAGCGCATCCAGGGGGCAGCACTGGCTGCACCTGATTGGTCCAGAGCCCAGGGCCCTGCCCGTCCCTCACCGGGTCATATCTGCCACCTCCAGTCAGACTAGAAGCGTTGGGTGGGGGGCTGTTGAGTTTATGCCCAGGAGGCCAACAGGGGGCGCTCAGGGAGCCAGGTGGAGTGGGGATTGGGGGAATGGTGCCTGTCCGAAGATAGCAGGCTTCCCCCTCCCTTGAAGAGCCCTAGGAGATGGTCCCTGTCTGCATGGTGAGAGCCAGGGGAGACCCCAGCTCTTGATCACTCCCCATCCTGGTGGACACCCCCCCCCCCGCCCCCGTCCTCTGTGCTGTAAGCTCTGACTTAAGGTAACTAGGAACCCAACATTTCCGGGAACACATGAGCATTTAAGGTCATCCCCTAGAGCCCCACTGTCTCAACTAAGCCCCCCACCCCACTGGCTGAGGGGTATGAATCAGCTGCTGACCCAATTCCTTGGTCATTTTCCCTTCCTGGGTCGGGCGGGGAGGTGGGGGTGGCAAAAGGGAGAGGGAGGTGGTCAGGGGTGGGACCGGCACCTTCAGGACTCACCGGCTCCCAGCACCCACCCCAGCATGAGTACAGAGCCAGAGGGATGCGCACCTTCCTTGGGAGGGAGTGAGGAGGGGTTGGGCCCATGGGGCTGGAGTTCTGGGGTGGGGGTGGGGGTGGGGGTGGGGAGCATCAGAGGAGCTTCCCTGATTTTGCTCCCTGGGGACTCAGGCTCAGGTGCAGTGACTGCTTTGTAACTAGGCAGCTTGTATCCTGGCTGCTAGAGAAGGAGGCCTGGGAGGGGAGGGGATCTGGCTTCTCTTAGGTGGGGGAGGGACAAGAGGTCCAGAACAGGAGAGGTGTGTTAAAGGCTGGATCTCTCCTCTGGCCCCCCGCAAAGGGGAGGGCAGGGATAGCATGTAAAAAGCCAGGCCCAGCCTGGCAATTAGCACACACTTAAGAGGCAGAAGCCAGAAGTACCTTATTCCCATCAGGGAGTGGTGTTGGAGCAGCAAAGAGAAGGCAAGCTACATGGAAATGTTGACCCAGGCATTTGGCTCCAGCACCTTCTCACTTCTGCTTCCTTTCTCCCGCTCACCCATCCTCTGGAATGGGATGTTGAGGCCAACTGCATTCTCTTTGGAAAAGCAGGTCACCTTCTGGCCCGGGGATCATGTGGTACATTAAGAATTTCATCTTGCCTGGGGAAGGCGCATATGGAAAGGGAAAGCCGAACCAAGTGCTTACATGAAAATGTGTTTCTAATTGTTACTTGTTCAGTGCACAGGTGGCATTGTTTTCTGGGCACCCGAAGAAGGTCTTAGAAATGTGCTTTGCTCCCTCTGTTCTCAGCGGGCAGCCACGGTGCCTGAGATATTAGCCGAGGCATTCTGCACTTGGTTTTGCCTGCACTTGAAGGCACGATTGGCTACAACAGGGAAGAAACAAACTTGAGGCCGATTTGCAGAGCGGAGCCTTTCACAAATTTTGTTTCGCTCCGTGTGTCTGGGTGGGGAGACCCCGGAAACTGTTCTTTGCAGATGTGGCCCCCAGCGGCAGAGGAAGTGTTTGCTTTACCACAGCAGGTGTTTTCAAAAATTAAAAAAAAAAACGTTTGCTGAGAGGGATAGACTTTCTGAGATAGTGTTTTCGAGCGTCTGCTAGGAGTCACAGGATTGCAAGAGACAAGCCCTTGTCGCTGATCACTGGGAACCTGTGTGCCTTTTCCTTCCCACGGCCTGATTTCTTCCTGCTCCCATGGAGATAGGGAAGCCGGCTTGCCTGGAAGTTCAAACACTGTCTTTCCGTCTATGGAGCTGTAGAAACAAACGGTTAAATGAGCTAAATAAACGTTTCATTGGGACCACTGGGCGTTGCCTTTGAGGGATCCAGGAGGGGCTTTGCCCCGAGGCTCCAGGTTTCGCTTCTCTAGAGCTGCCACTTCTATGAACTGTTTAGCTATGGCAGGGTGTGGCACTTGAACTAGCTTTGGTGCCTTCGCGGCACTTGAATGTGAGCTTGCTGCGACTCAACCTGGTTGGTTCAGTGTTGTCCCCGCCGTTAGTAGATGAGCACCTCTCCCTGTCCCCCACCGTCCCCATCCTCACCCCCTCCCCCATTTTGCACATTTGCACCATGCTGTGCCCACAGGGCTTGGGATGTCCATGGGACATGGGAGCTGTGTACAGAGGTAATTCTGAGCTGGTGATCCACATTCTCTGCTCTGGGGTCTCTAGGATCCAGTTATTTGTGTCTCTTTTAGACCCAGGGAGCCAGAGCTCCAGATGGAGGGTGTGAATTGGGTCATGACAACTTGCCAGAAGTCACGTTCCAGGAGGGCAGGTCCATTAGTGTGCTCGGGCACACTCAGGCAGCCCAGACCGGGTGGCTTCAATGACAGAAGCATGTTTCCTCCTGGGTCTGGAGGCTGGGAGTCGGAGGTTGGTTCCCTCACATGGTCATCCTCTGTGCGTGTCTGTGTCTCGATCTCCTCTTCTTCTGAGGACCCCCGTCAGATTGGATCAGGCCCACCTGACTGGCCTCGTGTTCACTTAATTTGAACCTTTTAAAAGACCCTCCGAAGTACAGTCCCAGTCAGAGGGGGTTGACTTCCACGTATGACGTTGTGGAACAGCCCACAGTGGCGGGGAAGGGGTCTCTCTTACCCTTTTGTTCATGGAGTGGTAATGTGGTGGATCTCAGGGTGGTCCGGCAGGAGAGAAGGGAGGGACATCAAAGGTAGGGTACGAGGGGCAAGTGCCATCTTCTCTGGTGGGGAAATCAGGGGAGGCTGCCTGGAGGAGGTGGTATCAGAGTGGGCCTAAGGAACGACTAGGGGAGGTGTATGGGAGATGGAGAGGATCACTCAATGGGGAGGTACAGCATGGACAAGCTCTGAGACATGGAAATTTAAAGGTGTCTTCTACCTGTTGTGTAAAGACCGTGGATGCATTATGCATAGAGATGGATCAGAGGGAAGAAGTTTGGGAAAAACAGGTTGAAGTCAGCTCCTCAGGGAACGTAACGTGAGGCTGGAGAGCCCATGGGGGCGGGATGAAGTGGTGGCTTTGTTTTGTTTTATTTGGTTTGAAGGTTAAAAGCTTTTATTTAGAAAGGCCAAAATGATTGTGGGCTAATTGGAATAGCTAGGTTGTGCAAGAAATGACTTGAAAATCCCCTTTCGATGTCCCCAAAGAGTTGATTCCTTTATATGTGCTTTATTCTTCCTGTGGACCTCCGACCTCAGGGGGTCAAGCAGAAATAGGGCTTAGGCTCCCTGCCATCGTTGCCGGGCTCTGGGCAAGGCACTGGACCCCTGAGCAAACCAGCAGGCTACTGGGGATGGTGCCCGGGGAGGTCGAAGCTGTGGAGTGATCCCAGTTCCTGCCACAGGGTCCCCTCCACACCATGGAGGGGGACCTCTCAGGTGACCATGTGCTTTCCTGTGTATCACAGGGAGCTGGTGGGATTTGTCACAGAGACGGTGGTGGTGACCGACACATGAGCCTCAGCGTCTGCTGGCCTGGGGTTCCCCGGCCTCATCCTTCCTGGCTCAGAGATCTTGGGCAAACTGACTCAGCTGGGTCTTGCCATCTTGGAGCCTGGCTGGGAAGCCTCGCTTTGGGCCTGCTTGGCACCTGAAGGAGGTGGTCCTTGTGCT